GGATTCGAATTTAATTCCCATACACAGTCAAAACGTATTACCAGGAAGGTTCAAGCAGCCATCAATGCACCCTCTACTATTAAGCTCTAACCAACACAATCTCCAGCCAAGAATAACACCTGAGGAAAAGAAATCAATGCCTATTCGCTTCCCCTCTATTACAGAGCTAAAACACTGTTTTAACGTAATAGTATAAAACGTTATTAGTCCTGAAAATGGGTGTTTACCAGACGAGTGTGGTCATTCCCGTGCGAGACGAAGTTGAGTGCGGGATTACCATACGAGTCCGGTAAACACATTTTGGACGAGTAACGTACGATATTTTACTCCATACTACTCTATGTTAACTTAACAATAAAAAATCTGTACAAATCCTTATGTATTCCTAGGACTAACAATCACTACTCATAATAGAGGTTATATTTTTTTTATAACCACTCATTGCCACATGTAATGAGCTGGCTGGTGTCCGATAAAAACTCATTACAGTACAACAGTAGGTAATGGCACCCCATTTGATTAAGCTGGCGCCAAAAAGCTGTTTTCTGGACTAAATATTTGCGTGGGAAGTTCGTAAAAAACAGTATATTGTGACGTAAATAATTGTATTCATACTTAACGCTTTCATTCAAATTTCCTGTAACTAATTTAATGCTTTTACCTAAACAATGCGAAGAGAAGTATACTGTAGTACCGAAAGTCAATGCCAATTTTTGTCAATACGCGATACTAAAATTACACTCGTTGTTTTAGAGAATCATTTACAATAACAAACTACAGTCTGATGTATGAATTACAGAACGTAGTTTTCCTCAGAAAAGAATTAGTCTACGTCGGATGTCGCCTTCAATGATACAGCGTCAATATTGAAACTGCATTCATGATGTCTACATAGAAAAATGAAGGCGTTGTTTCTCTACGACGATTTGTACATACCGAGCTTTCAGTATTCCATGCTGGTTTTTGCAGAAAATTAAGATTAGTATAGGGAAATTACGTCAACATATTTATTTATTTATACAAACCAGCGACAGATCCAGTTAAAATAGCTAATGTTTAGAAAACATGTAGATTCAACAATGTAGGATATATATATTTTTTTTAAGAAACCCACGAATATATTGTACGTTGTAATAGTTGAATGATCAATCGACTAACAAGTTTGACTAACAAAATACATAATTTAAAGGGAACTTATAACAAATAAATGTCTGATAGTAAAATAATTGAAGCAACTTTCAGTGTTTCCTAAAGATATCAATTTTTCTAATTATTCTATGTGTAAAAACACGTTTGGGTGTGTTTCTTAGTTAGAAAATTTTCTTTTAAGAGTTTGATAGAGTTAAGTTAAACGTATTCAGCACTGACGCTGAGATATAATCCTTAGAATCCGTGTTAGCCTGACGAATCGTGGCTAAACTTACAGATTATTCTTTGACTGAAAAATTTAACTCGAATTTTATACCCAGTAAGTATATTTAAATAATTTAATTTATGTGGACTTTTCTCTTAGCAGCCTTGTATTTAATCATATCAAATATGTTGACGATGTTGATTTTATTGAAAAGAATTAACTTTTCTTCTTCTGGTAAGTGAACCGACTCAATCAAGCAGCTCATTCGTGATACCAGTCTCATTTCAATTAGGCTCCACCCTCTATTATCACAAACCCGACACTAAAAACGTATCTCTTTCTCTTGAAATAACTCCTCGCTGGAAATTGAGACACGCAAAAAGTGAAAGAATGTTCACAGTTCAATTGAATCGTGATCTTTTGATTATATTTTGGCTTTTAGTAGGGGAAGACCTGTAATAGGCTTATGTATAAATTCTTATCTGAATATCCACAGTTTTCTGGATTCTTATAAAAAAATTTTAAGAACTTTTTTATTTAGAGTTTAAAATTATCTATAACATCAAGCATAAAAATATAGAAGAGTAAATAGCTAAAAATCCAAAAATATTTGATCTTTTAAAACTTGGTTTCGTTTTATAGAAAATGTTAAACGCTAATAAAAAAAGTTCCGGACATTTTTTTACAAAATTGTCATACTTTTAATATTTTATGACGGAAAAATTCAAATGGCCACCATTTTGAAATCTCCAATTGGACAGTTATTTTTTAACACGGTTATCTTTTACCTTAAAATACATACTAAGATTTATATAGTTCGGTTATAACATCTCAAAGATATTAATGGTAATGTAAATACTACAAAACTACGTACATCGGGAAAGACTCGTTCTTAGAAAGAAATCCATTCTTAATAGTTTATTTTTTTACGCATTGAACCATTCCCCGGAGTGTTCCTTTCGGGACACCCTTTATACCTTATTCCTATAAGGGAAAATTTGTTTAGTGGATCGCAAATATGTATACTCAGTAGTTTTCCAAAGTATTATCGATCAATATATTCCCCATGGAAGGGCGAGCCCTGATGAGGGAGAAGTTTGACGGGACGCCGAGGAGGTTATGCAGTTGATAAGTCAAAGGGCAAAGTTTTCACCCCCTATCAAGTTCTGGAACACCCTTCGTCATGCATTGAAGTGACAGAAATGAAAATCGATGCTCAAAACTTTGTCTAGAAAACATCGATGGGGGATCCTCATTTGTAACTGCTGAAAGCTCGGTTAACTTTCAAGGCTATAGGAGGTATATATAATATTACTTTCTAAAGGAGATAGAATGAATATAAATAGTGTTATGTATATGTATTTTAAACAAAAACCTTTGGTGTTAATATTAATGTTAATATCAATAAAAAGCTCTACATCATGCTGCATCATTTTACAAACAATATCATTGATTAATGGGAAACTGATTTATTATTATCATAATAAATAAACACACATTATATATAATTTTTATAGAATGTTTTAAATTATGACGTTGTTTGAGAATTTTTTTTTAAATTAAGTATTATAAAAAATGCATTGGATTAATATAACAAAATCACAATCATTAGAATAAAAAAACATTTCGAGAAATCTTATATTTTTAAAATCTAGACATTGTTTTATCTTCCAGTAGCGTAGTTTCAAAATAAAAATTTATAGTTCTTGAGTTTTTAATGAATTTAAATTTTAATAACACATTAAGCTTACTTTTTAAAATAATAGAACCTAAAAAGATGTGTAGGCTAGCGTTGTTAACATTGAGATGTTAAGATTACTTTTTGAGTTCTCTTTAGAACAAACCTCCAAAAAAATTCCCTTCTCCGAAATATCTACTGGTTACGGTACTTTCCAGTCAACTGCTCAAGTCAAAAGTCAAAACAACCAATCTTAAAAATGATCGAGTTTCTATAACACCCTAAACTGATTCCAAACATCACAGCCTTCAGCTCACATATTCCACTAATATATACCAGAATTACAGATTTTTATATCAAAGTTTTGCCATCTATTAAACATATTGTTCAACCCCTTCACAAACGTAATACACTTATTCAAAGTTACGGGGATAATCTTGTTGCACGTTGGGATTGAAAGGGGAGGGGTTAAGTACCAATATAAAATTGGCGCCCCTGACAATCTCCCCCCTCCCCGGGCCAATCGTCCCCTCACCTGCAAATATACAGTTTCACTACAACGGCTCACTAGTCCTGTGTGACTATAGCTTTTTTTTATCGTATCATCTGGGCCCTGATACGTTTCTTTTGTGACAGACCTGTTGGTTTCTTTTTTAACTGCAGCGAAGCAATACATGTAAATGGGTTAATTTAGCAGGGGGGAGGAACCCTATTTTAGGTAAGAATTTCACTGTATATTAAACGTATTCCCATTAATGTTTTAGCGAATATCCTATCCTAACGAAGTAACTGTTAGTAGGTGGCACAGTAAGCCGTAATTGCGCCAAGACCTAGACCAAGGGCCGATTTTTTATATTTTGGTTTCCCCAGAGGCCAAAATCACTATTAGTTCGGGCGTCCGTGAAAATGATAACTCGAGTATATTTCGTTCTATTTTGGTTAAATTTTGCATGAATGTGTAGGGCTAGATAAACTTAAATGAGTTCGCGAACGAGTAATATCGGGTAATAAAATGTAGTAATGGGGTTTTGGGTTTGATTTTTTTATTTTTCACCCAAATAGCATGAAAATGTCCGAGTTTCATTAAACCATTGCGTGGGCAAAAAAAAAATCAGTCTGTACATAGAGGTGTTGTTGTACACTTTAAGGTGAGAAAATGTCAAGCAATAAACATGTAAAATTCAACTTTTATTCGTATGGAGAAAAAGTAAACTGTCGTAGTTAGCTTGTTTAAGGACACAATCCGTTCAAATTGACTTGTAATATATATGTTTTGGTAAAATTAAGTACAAACGTGTTCGCGAACCAGCATGATTGGACCATGAGAACGAGGTTATATAAGGACATTTATGGGGTAAAAATTTATATTTCTCATTTTTCACCCTCAAAAAATTAAATTTCTAAATTTCTCTCCAAACCATTTTGAAGAATTAAAAAATATATGTTTTAGTATATTGAAGTGTTTTTGTACGGTTTTTGGTTCCGGAGAAAGTTGTAAATTTAATTGTAAAACGGAGTTTGATTTTAAATTTTAAATTCCTATATTATTCTTATGGGGAATAAGTAAAACGTTCTAGTATGCTTGTATGTGGATATATTTTGATGAAACTTGGTAATTTATCTTATCCTAAGCTATTAATATTTAACTAAAACACACTTTATTAACCTCCCTGTAGCAGGAAACCTAGGTACACGTTAAACGTAGTGTTAATGAAATAGATTTAATCGTAAATCAAATCATACAAATGGAAATTCGCTTGGTGTGTAGGTTTGCTGCGGCGGGGGTATTATAAGTAAGTTGTAAGTAAATGTATTATTACCATACAGTTAACAAAGTTTGCAAATTTATGTAAGTTTTGTTTGGACTAAATAGTTTTTGTTCGTTCATTCAATATGTCATCAGTTCTTAAAAAAAAACTTTGTTGTTGTGTTAAAAAACTTTTTTTCAGTTACATGGAAAAAACTTACTTTAAGGTTAACACATCCAAACACCCTTCTCCCGTCTTGACGCGCTTAAAACGGAATCCACCAAACGAACATCTTTTGACAAACTTACGTGCGCTACTGACAGAAGAAACACAAACAGCAACGCCACAAGTCGTCTGCTAGGGTCGGTAATGTCCGGCAACACTCGGCCAAACTCGGCAAAGACGGAGACAGCCGAATGGCTTCCGGTTAACATTGGCGACCAGTCAATAACGATACACTTGCAAATACAGTTTCCAATTGCAATTGAATTTTATTTATTTCTTTTTTTATTTGTATTTGATTTTTATCACTATCCTCTCCATGCGAAGGAATAAATTATAATTAAAATTCCATCATGCATTCTTTAAAAAAAATATTTTTTTTGTTCTTTGCACATTTACTGGATTTCTATTCTTGGAAGAAGTCTCAACTGAATAAATCCATCTCTTATTTCAGGGTAGAACTGTGCCTTATGGCTTTTATTCTTTAGTTTTAATGCCGTAAATTTGTTGAACTGGATAAATAATGTAAAAATACTAATCTCTGCACGATCTCTATTTAGATCAGTCAGAACTAACGTAACAATTATTTTCAGCTGGTCCATTAGTTGATATATCTACAAGGGTTGTGTTTATAATCTATAGGAGGGGCTATTACCACTGTCAGTTTGACTAAACATAGTTAAACACTGTATTTCGTTTATCTGGTTAAATAAATGTGTAAGAAAGACCCTAGCATGATTCTAACTACACTTCAAATAGTAAAAAGATACATAAACACTTGTTTGTGCTTTGTGTTGGATTTGAAATAATATGCTTAGTTTTGTTGTTTAGTTTGGGAACGTGGTTTTAATTTTATGGGTTACTTCATTGATAACGTCTAGCTAAATCATGGATGGCAACGTACTGTGTGTACGTATATTTCCCTAAATATGAATGCAAGGTGTGGAAGGTGATAATATGCAGGATGAATAGGAATAGAGAGATAATATAAAAGCCCTTTGATTCCAGTTTCGAAGCATAAAATTAATATTTTCCCAGGATCCTACCGGTAACCCACTGTTCTCAGACGAGCAACATTATTTGAATCAATAAGTTATCGTTCAAATAGCTGGTGGAACACAATTAATTCATTGACAACATAAAATTTCATCGATAAGGATAATGAATTATTGCATGATTTTCAAAGAGAGTCCTCAAATGTAGTTGAGTTATTCTCCACTTGAGGGACCTGCCCATGTTCATACTAAGATTGTAAACAACATAGCAGGAGCGTAAAATTACCACACTATTCCAATAGCGATTGGTGATTGGTGGAATCGAACCCGGGACCTCTGGAACAAAAGTCCTGCGCTCTAACACCTGAATCAACTGTGCCTTATGACTTTAGGTTCTATTTACTCTATGACAATGAATGGGAATGGTCAATCGAATATATGTAATAGCTAGTATAAGCAAATTACGATAAATATCTACATAATTTTAAAACACGTTCACAGTTTTCAACATTTATTCAAACGGTTTCCTCTTTCAATCCATATCTGAATAAAACAATGTATCAACAACAACGTATGTAACAATGTACTACTAGACCTAAGCCATTCCCCTAGCATTGTATTGTAGTATTATTGATTTCGCACCAATTTACCATTCAACGACATAAGTTTAAGGCAAATACAAAACTTTCCTATTGTGATTGGTTTTAGATTACAGCATAAGTTTGAACAAAGTTGAGAGCAGAAGTCAAACTTCTAACTCGAGAAACAACATTCATTTCCTTCGGCTTACCAAATTTCCGTTTTATCGATTCATTGAATTGGCTTTTGCTAACAATTGCTTCGGTTCAGAATAATCTTCCAAGAAGCTGATTTTCACGTGATATTTTTGGATTTGAATAATTATTATAACTATGATAACAATAATAACTAAGACTTTTATTCCTAAATTATATGATACTGGGTTGTATTTTTCAGTCAAAGGTTTTTTTTATTTTGTTTTATTTAAAGTTAAATTGGCCCCAATTCTTCTTAATTTTGTTTCTAATTACAGAGGAAAAAATCTAGAATGATTTTAAGTCAATAATAACAAGTAATTATTGGTCTACTTTAGCAATAAAAGTTTAATTTACGTTTTAGGGGGTTATTTTCAATTAAGATTTGATTTAGTAGTTATCATTTAAACATCAAGATACCCTGGCAGTTGTAGACTAGTAAAATCCAAGCATCAGAAGTATGATTAGAAAAATAGGGTTATAGTCCACTTGAAAATCTAAATTTTTCTAGCAATAAAGATTTTCTTTTTGGCGCAAGCTTTTAAACAAGTTTTACACCATTTAAATCAGCTAGAAAGACAAACCATTTATATCTTTGCATTTTCATTCCACTTCTCTATATTCCCAATGCTTTTAAAGGCTAAACCCAAAACGTTGACTCTGATATTATATTTATTTAAAAAAAAATAGTTTAAACTGCTTGTTTGTGTGAAAAACATTTACAAGTTTGGCAAATATCCTTGGTTTATGATAGCCTTAAAAAATGTGAAAACCAACGATTTCTCTTTCCTAGCGGTAGCAAACCTGGACATTTAATTGACAGATTTTATTGATACGGAGCGTGGATCTATATTTAAATAAATCTACTTAAATTAGACATACAGCAAATTTGCTCCATCTTCAGGTGTATGAATCTTTATTTATAGGGGTTATTCGTCATAATTTACTTTCTTTTACTTTATCCAGGTTTCACCATGTTTTGCTTGATTTTTTTAAGTTCCACAAAGAAATAAGAAATAATAGTTGGTGGATGCAATTATAAATGACAACTAGTTCTTTAAATTTGTAAGCGACCAATTTATAAACAATTCAATACTCTCATACATTTAAAATAAGTAAGTTCTAGCATTTAATTTCGGAAACTAAATCAAAGGTACTAGCCATCTACAGCATTTATTTATCTTTTAAGCTAATAAAAAGCCGATTAAAAAAAAACAAAAGTTACTGAGAAGTTACAAAATTCAACCTTCCATGTAAGACAGTTAATTTTTAAGTTGGGAAAAATAAAGATAAAATTAAACTAAAAAACGCCAATGTTTTAATTAAGAGGAGCGAGCTGGTCTAGTGGTAGCGCGAGGGACTTCAGTCCTGGGTTCAAATCACATCAAATCACCGATGGATTTTATCTAAGTGATAATGCCACAACCCCCTAGCCTGAAGTAATGTGAAAACCGATTCCAGACTAGTCCTAGCGTCCTAGGACAAAAACGTCTAATTAAACTATCCGTTAAATACTTAAGTAATTCTAAGTGACGGTGAAAGAATAACGTATTTACCCCATATACTGTAATTTCCTAATTGAACGCTCAATAATTGTGATAGTGTCTTATCAGAAAGGAAACCTCGTGCTCAACGAGAACCTTGTCTGTTACTTGTAAGTCTCCTGACTTTAAGATCAGAGGGAACTTAAAGTTTTTTACGCGAGGGTAGAAACTCTTTCAAAGACATAAAAAGTCACGTTTGCTAGAGTAGCAAGTTTCTTCGGCCTTTGACAGAACAAACTGTCACCAAAGGACTCGTTTCCTTTTGGAGACTTCTTATCAAATTAGAAACAAGAGTTGTATGGAGCTTAAAGTCTTTGAATCTCCGATTTCCTAAGTACTAAACTAATTTATTGTATGCTTGTAAAAATTAATTGTCTTTGTAACCGAGTGATATACAGCTCATTTGAAAATCTGAAGGTTGGTGGCGATGGGCCGAAGAGGTTATTTGGGTGACATATTTTGATCGATGGTCATTTAAGAGTGGGGGACTGGGACTGTAAATATAAAATAAACTGTACAACGTTTAATATTTTCCAATTGACAAACAAAAAGATAAGATGCAAGTCAAGAAGAAAATGTATGTACCCAGAGTGCATTGCGGCATAGAATCAAACGGAAATTTACATAATTGCTTTCCGCTGAAGTGGCCGGTGTTTTAAAATGCAGCAGGGTTGGTTTCCTTAACGAAGAGGGTGCTTTGGATCTTTCGCTTTGGAACAAAGCATTTTTAGACTTAAGAAGCACAATTAAGTAAAAAACTTTTCTTTTTAAGTTGCAAGTCTAACAGTGCGTTCTCCTTTGTCCCTTAACTAAGAATGTAGAAATTGTATTTGTCGTAATTCGATTTGTTTTCAATCCTTATAAATAGTTAGTCGAAGTAATCAAATACAAACAAGTTGTTACTATGAATAGCGAAATAACTGACTTATCTCTCACATTAGGAAATGAGTTGTTTTTAGAGAAAACGTAAAAAAAGTATATAACAATTTTATGATGTTATTTGACCTGATACCGGTACTCAAAAGGATAGACTAAAGAAATTTCTTGTCAGACTATAGTTCACGTTTTGAACGGCTAATTTAACTCTATTAAAATTTTCTTATTATCAGTGCCGATTATTCAATATTGTTTTTATCATATTAATCTATGTCTCGATTGTTTCCCAATAGATCGAAACAAAATTAAATTAAATAGTCTTAATTAAAATCAATTTTAAAACTAAAACTCTTTTATATATTAGTATATATTAGTATTTTATATATTATTTATATATATATTAGTCTGCTCGTCATCAAATCAGTAAGTTTAAGATTTTATCCTTATTGACGCTTTTTAATTCAAATCCTTTTATAAACAATTCAACAGCAATACGGATACCATCAAAATATAAAGTCACATTATCAATGTATTGGATATTAATTTTTTGGTCTTCATTTTAGAAAGAAGTTGGTAAATTGAGGAAAGCAAACTCAGGCAACGTTAATTTCCTCCAGAATTTCCAATTTCCTCTCGCAATGGTTTATCTCATGTGTGATTTATTTGATCCCTGAACTTAGTACCAGACTAATTGGACAATTGTTCAATTATGGTAACTTGATTATATAAATGGAGAATAAGTGCTCAACGTTTTTACACTCTACAGACAAAACTACACTAAAGTAAATTGGTTTGTAAAGTTGTATTTACATTTTTAAATTTCATCTCATTATATGCATGTAAATAATATTTACT